AGCTTTACCATGACCTTAACATTTCTTCATAAGCGCCAAATACAAAGTACAGCTGGAGCTGATGGGAAATATGATTGGTCATAAACCAAACTATTGGACAAATCATCATGTTCACTCGCGTTAAATGGAAAGTCAAGGAACCACCAAAGTTGTTACGCTCCTTCTGAGGGGGGCATGAATGCCAATCCATCTGATAGTTGTTGAGATATTTCAGTCTGAACCAAAGTGGTGGACCATGTTGCCATCCCTAGAGCCACACTGCTAGCCTACGGTTGTGGATCCATCAAATTGAAATTTCCCTTCTGAGAATCGAACCACTAAAAAAGATGAACCACTAAAAGACCTCATTCCCTCGGCTGGTCAACAGACTGACCAACCAAATGGCTCCAGCGCGCCATTGAGGGATTAAACTCAGACAAGCACTTGCAGCACAATCTCAAACCAGAGAGATACAAAATTGAACAAACTTAAACTACCTGTCTGGAACACTGAATAGCAAACACAATGAAAACTGAATTTCTATCTGATTGAAAGCCATGAATCAAAATTGGCAGTTATACCTCTTCACTACAGAGAGACTGATGTGACCAAAAAATACAGCCAGAATCACTTGAGAGAAAGGACAAACAAGTCCTGGCTACCAAAAGAAGGGAGGCTACAGGCAGGCTCGAAAAGTCCAATGTTGAGTGGAGTAAAAACAGGACGGCCTATTAGAATTACATCACTAAAAAAACATCCAAAAATGGCGGAAACCTAATAAAAACAAGTGGTTACTTCATTTTTATCAAATACACATTGTATTACTTGTTGTCTTGTCTTGTTTTACCATGCACTATTTAGAGTAGAATTTGAAATGAGAGGAGGGATTAAAGCTGATTATTACTGTTTATTTGATCCTGAATATGTAATGTGCACCACAGATCTCCCCGGGAAAAAAACGCACATACACAGCAACAGGCGGAAGTAATGTGTTTACTTATTTGATTTTGTTTTTGATGAATTCCAATTTCATTTAAATGCTCCACCAGGACCGTTCATGTACCACTGATGCCAATCAAGTGTATTGAATTGCGTTACACTGAATGGAGAGCAAACGACAGAGAAGCGAATAAATGAAAAGAGAGACAGAGAGAGACAACCACAGGCAGATGAGAGGTTGTTTTTTTTTTCTCTTCGCCAGGCTGCTGTGCTTAATCTGCCTGTCAGTATGACTTTTGGGGACATTGATTCCCTCTCCTACACAAATCTGAAATTGATCTCATTAATCTCCTACGCATATATTCACAAAACACAGCAAGGCGAGACGTTTAATTAACTGCATTTTGCGCTGAACAAACTAGAAACTGCCGTCATCTGTGAGAATTTGAACAACATCAGGCGACAAAAGGAACATGGCTCTGACGAGACTTTCCCTTTCAAGTTACCCGTCTGGTGTCACAAAAGCTTCAAGACGGACTAAAGCTCTGGTTATATTGGATTCATCAAATCATGCCGGGAATGTGTTAACCAGCAGGCCTTGATTAGTTTTTATAAATAGTCACTCATCACTTTTAGAGCTGCATGAACTCGAACTCATGAACTCAATTACTGTACCCATAACCTAAAATACAAAGGTTGAGTAGAGGGATTTAGTTTACCATTTAAGAATATAACCTCACATACAAAGGGGGGTTTGGAGGATCCTTCACTGGCTGTAGATAAGGGCGTTCGCGTATTTTGGGACCACTGTAGTTCGTTTGTGCTTGGGAGGGTGAAGCGAGGGAGT